GTGAAACCGCACCACATCCAGGCTTTGAATTATAGATCTACGGTGGGGGCTAGCTGTGCTATAGTCAGCAGGATGGCCAACCAAGTCAATCCTGCTGGTGTAATGACCCCAACAGCAAGTCTTGTGGATCATCATTCACATCAGCCAAGAAAAGCACCAGGCAGCACTGCTCCATCTCACCACACTGTTTATTGCAGGTGTATAGATAATGCAATCATGCTAATTGGGTTCATGTCGCCTCATAAGCAAGCTGTTGTCGGACTTTGGCTGATCCTTGAGATACTATAAATATTTTATAGCCTCTTTTTTTCTTAGCCACCGTGTATAAATTCACGCTCTGACCATTTTCTTTTTGCCAGCCTCCGAGGTCAAGTTAAAATGAGTCACGCGCTGCATCCAAATGAAAAGTGGCTGTAGCATGTGATGTCCATTGTGACACCATGATTAAAACTGCTAAAAATGACACCATGCTTGTAGAGGCTGTCAACCAGGAAATTGCTTTCCTTTTCACTTTGTGCTTTTCTCAGGCGCATCGGGCTTCTAGCCCACTTGTGTCAAAATTGATGTCTCCTTCAAAGGTGCCCATGAATAAGTCAGCAGCCAGTGAAAAGGGGCGATTGGTCCTGGTAGAAATAACAACAAGAGCCAATTTAGAACTGAGTGGAAAGTCTTGTTTTGACGTCAAACATCTAAAATTGTGTCTTTCCGGATCTTTGAAAGATCATGGTTTGACCACTACCCATAAGTTTAACCATTTTGGCAGAGGTTTAGAAATCACACACTGGCTGCTGCAATTGGTTGTTATCATCAGAGTGCTAAGCCATTAATGGACGTGATGGCAAATTGACTGTTACTATACTATCACAGTTTTGGCCTGTCCTTTACTTTGATCGTTAACAGCAAACACATAGGCCCTTATAATGATCTATGTGCTCGCTGTATTGTAGCAGTTGTGTTTGGAGAATGGTTGCTGTGCAGCTGTTCACTGACTCACAGCTTCGCCTCAAGTAAGCTCAACTCAAGAGAGATGAGTTTGATTAACTATTTTAAGGCTCATTTTGCCATTTTAACAGTTTCATCAATTCATCTTAACATTTGCCAAATGTGCTCATGGTGGCAAAATGTGATTAATCGGTTCTTGTGGGGAAATAAATTACGTACCTTTTGTATAGGTGAATTTCTTTGTGCTCAAACATACTGTGTTTCATAAGTGCGTTAAAACTCTGTCTTTTTCATCTTATACACATCAACATGCTTCTTTCGCTTTGAGTGTTTGAGTACGTTTCCATGTAACTGTGAGCAAAAACTGGAAAGAGGGAGGATGTGTATAAAGCTAATGTCAAGAACACTACGTTTCTAAGCGTTTCTTAACCTGTTCTGTACGCTAGACGTCAGTGCTCAAGGGCTAATACTGACCTGTACCTAACCTCAGACACTTCTCAGAAGCCTCTTAATTAAATGCAGAGAACAACCTACGGTAAAGGCCGTCTGTGTCGAGAACTTCTAAACCCAGGAAGGTTAGGCACATGTCCAGACATCCTGTCTTATGTTGCCACACAGTGTACTGACACTAGAGCCAGCACCTTAAAGTCTTATCGGGAGACTTAAGAAAATTAATAGTATAGAATCTTTCCAAGCAGCAGATGCTGTGTGTGGATGTTCATGGGTGGAGCTGTGGGAAGGTAGCCTGTACTGTAACTCAAGAAACACAGATGACAGATGGGACTATATGTGTTATCAACACCCTTGGTCCCTAATGATTTCCCAAGCGCATGCACAGAAACAGAACTGTGCATGAAAGCATGCATTTGATACTTGCTATTATGTAACAGCACTGCTGTGTGCTCATCAGCTTTTTCAAGCAACAAAATTACACAAGCATATATACAAGTTAATATATGCCTTGCATATATTAACAAGCTATGTCGCTTTTCAACATAAAACCAACTAACTTCAAAAAGGAAACATTTTACTCCATTATAGTTTTTGTTTACATTTGAACTGGTACTTTTTAGCCCCCACCTCCAAAAAGTCTTTCCAGGGGTGCAGAAAATGTGAAAACACTCGTTTTATGCATTTGTTGTGTACAAGAACAACAAAAACTATTTATAGCAAAGTGATCATTTCTGCTGCTTCTTTTAAAGATTGTTTTTCTCCTCAGTGTTGCCAAATGCTCACTCATAAAGGATCACTTTACTGTTGCAAATCTATGTTTAATGTTGTGCTCTTTTTCTTACAAGAATAAGTGTTTTCAGATGATGATAAATAAATAAAACTGAATTGAACTAAATTTTTTATTTTCCCTCACTCCCTTCGCTGTTGTGGCAGGTGTAGTTCAGATCATAGAAAGATGACTGAAAGAGGAATTGTGGTTGACAACATCTATCTAGAGTTAAAGTTACATTTTACCATGGTCACAATAGGTTAATGCCAGAAAGGGTCACTATTGTTTGCCTGACTGTCTATCCCGGGCCTTCCTGCCTACACCTCTTGTCACCGCTGGGACTAGCGGTTTCTCTTAAGAGGTGGGCAAAAACACTCCCTCACTTGGGTGTAACTACAACTGGCATGGCCTCTTTTGCTCCTGACCACTTTGATACATTTATTTTATTATTAGATGTTCAATTACACACTTTTTGTGTCTTTGCTGCTCTTTGCCAGAATAATTCTTCTGACTACACTCACATTGTCTGTGAAGGTCATCACATTGACTGAGACTAAGTGGCTTAAGAGCACCCAAGAGAAGTACTACGTTGTTCACAGTATCTTTTCTATGAAATGCGATCAGAGCTTGTACGTCATGGTATCTGGGTGCTACAGGAGACGGAGGAAGTTAGGGAAAGAGGAAGAATGGGCATCAGTTGTTGGACATGTTATCTTTGTGTCGAAAGGACATTGGGGCATTCACGTGTATGCCATAGAAAAAATACTAACTGAAAAAGTAACGATATAAATTCAAAGAACAAATAGTTGTATGCCTTCGACGTTTACTCTTTTTTTCTTAATACTTTACTCTTCTCTTTGTCCCCCCTCTTTTCTGATTGCAACCTGCGTACGCCTGCCATGCTCCCCGCCTTCATCTGTTGTTCCCAGTTTATTAAAAGTGGAACCCCCCCCCCTCTTGAATTTCAATTGACAGGCTTCAAAGTGAGCGGTTCAGTGGTTGGTGGGGTTGGAAGAGTGGGGGGGGTGTCATCAAACATGCCGGGTGCTTCAGGCCTCAGAGGACTCTCAAGGCCCACTGCTGAAAGGAGCTGGTCAGCTGACAAACCCCTAGCCCCCCCCATAGTCATATCTAAAATGAACTTAAGTGCTCTCTGTTTTTATTACTTTTTCTCCCAGGTCAGTTGCACAAGATTCAAACCTACAATACTGTCAGAAAACTAATTTTCCTTCAGCTGTGTACAATCACACCAAGTCAGTTGGAACCACTCTGAGCCCGAGATTTGTCATCCTTATTGTAATATATTTTTCCTGATGTCGTGATGTTCTGTTTCTGCATTGTTTCTGAAATATTCTTTTTCAGAGATGTGATTTACTAGTGATAATGGACTAGTTTTGTCAAACCGAACAATTAGAAGAATGTGACATTTCAGTGCTTATTCACATTCAGTGTAATATCTGCCACCGTGGCTGTCACATGTACAAAAGCATATTTTTAACACCAATGTTTCCAATTTTCTCCCTAAAAAAACTGAAGTTTGTCTCTTTAATGCATGACTGTCTTTGCCATGTGAGCTGCTTTTTGTTCTATGACCATGATTCAGACAGATGGCCTGAGTGGATTCCCATTTCCATAAATGCATATTTTACATACAAGCTGTGAAATGAGTGTAGAGGGGACTGTATTTGTCACAAGAAGTGGCTTTCATTTCCTGGAGGAAATAGCTTCCGCCGGCATTGTCATTTTTCACATGCAATTTCTTACCATTAACTTTAATAATATATAGGTGGAAGAAGTTATACTAACTAAAGTTTTTACTTTTAACATTTAGGCTCAAAGGTGCACAAAAGTGAAGTTGCACAATTGCTTTTTTTTGTACATCTTTAATTTGGATCTGAATATATTAAAATACCATCTGTGGTAAAACCGTAGTATATTTGCCCCTGTGACCACATTAACAGATTATGGAGAATCCCCAGTAATTAGTGTGTGCGTATGCATGTGTATATGTCTATACACATATAATTTAGTGCTAATTACATGCACCTTTAATTCAAGAAAATACAGAAATGCTGTTACAAATTGGTGTAAGTTGATACTACTACACAGAACATTCCTCTTCACTGTCACAAACAGTCAATTCAGTCATTTAACACAAACAGCTGTTTTAGCAAATGTGGAAACTATAAAGGTTGGCGAGATGGTGAACTGGAACCTTTAAAATAGTCACAAAAGGTAATTGAATGCTAAAACCTACTAGAAGACATAAATGTAGTAAAATAAATCCAAATGGACACACTTGGAGCATGGTGTTTTATGATCATTAAGTAGGTACTGGAGCTCATCTCATTGGCCTGAAGGGGGACATCAAGCAAATGGCTATCTCGTTTTTCCAGATGTACAGCACAGTAAGGGGCTCAACAGAAACTTGCATCTGCAGTGATCTGCCACAAAGAGACATATCTTTATTTTGTGTTAGCTAGTCCTGGAAACTGAGCGGTCGTTTATATTTGTTTTCCTGCACTTATGAGATATTGTAATGATTAGTGAACAGTCATCCATCTAATCCCAGCAGAAATACGCTTCAGTAGCCTTTCAGCTGACCTTCTTGTCATTTATCTTTGCCACACTTTCAAGCTGGACCTAATGTCACTGAATAGAGAGCCCATTTGCTCATTAGCACATCTTTCCACTGTTATTAAAAGTAAACCATACTGTCTACACAACAAACACATTACTAAGTTCAATGGCCTCGCTGATGTCAATAGTGTTTAGCCCCTTGCCTGCAAAGGCCTGTCTTCTTTTCCTGTATCTTAACCATTTTCTTCATCATTAGATGGTGGTTCTGATGGACCCCATGGAGGACCCAGACGACATCTTGCGTGCCAATCGCTCGAGGGAGAAGACTTACATGTTTGATGTAGCATTTGACTTCTCCGCTAGTCAGGTTTGTCAGGAGTTAAAGAAAAAACAAAAATAAATTCATGCAAATCTCGCACTGTATTCATATTGATGTGTAGCTGTTTATGTATGGCCTGAACCCTTTCTTCGCCCTATACAGGAGGAAGTGTACCGGGCAACAACAAAAGGCCTAATTGAGGGCCTTATATCAGGCTACAATGCCACTGTGTTTGCCTATGGACCCACAGGTTTGTTTTGTGCGAGTGTATGTGCATTGAACAAGAACCAAATATATTTCTTAGTACTCAGTCTCAGTGCTCATAGGTGTATCATACACTAATTACATGTGCAACCCTCCTGACCTGTTGTCAGCCTGAGCCAGAGAGCTATTCAGCAAGCTCTTGGGAAAAGGTAGACATCTTATTAACACCTGTTTCACTTTTGATTTTAGCAAAGGCCTGATTAGAAAATGAGTCATGCTCTGCATCCCACATTTCCAGCGGGTAGTCACAGGCTGTCAAAGACTAGTACAGAGCCATTGCTCCATCAAGTTTCCCACCTTTCTCTTGCTTTCATTTTTTGCTTTCTGCCTGGCCATTTCTCGCACACAAGCTCTACTCTTGGCCTCCTCTTGTGGAAAGTAAGCACAGAGGTTGTAGCCACTCATGTGTATGCATGTTGTTTCCTCCTTGAAACTACAAAGTTAACAGGTTAGGAGCAAATGATTGGCATTTATTTATACTTTAAAATGTTTTTTCACAAATTCACCTCTGTAGCTAATTTTGTCCGTCACTGGGTGCTCACTACATGGTTAAGACTGGGTCTATGAGAGGCATTATATTTTGTTTTCAGGTTGTGGAAAGACATACACCATGTTAGGAACTGACAAGGAGCCAGGCATCTATGTTCGAACTCTGAATGACCTGTTCCGTGCCATTGAGGAGACCAGTGATGACATGCTGTACAGTGTGTCCATGTCCTATCTGGAAGTAAGGATTTTCATTTTTAAAAGAATTTCTCTCTAGACCTGTATTCTTATCACGAACTCTCAAGTAATGACACATCTAATTGCTCTGCAGTGAGACCCTAAATGTTAGATCCATTACTCTGATTGCTCACTCAGTAATTACCACTAATTTCTTGAGGTATGAACATTAGATATCCATCGCTGGTTCTGTCTACTGTTCAAATGGGATTTTGTTTTTTGGTTTTGTCTTTTTTATTTGGGGGGGGGGGGACTTCACACTGTTCTTGTAACATTTGATGTTGTTAATTAATGCCCGCAGTGGGCAGATACAGCTATCGCTTTACTTTTTTCTGGCATCCATGTCACATCTGAAGTGAGCTGGGCATCCTTATCTGCAGCCCAGTAGAGAGAGAGAGAGAATAAGATTGTTAGATACATTTTTATATTATGCAATGGAACTTATATATGCAAATGTTTTGATATACAAAACATTTCAAATGAGGTGACCTCTGGAAGTGATACAAGCAGTCACCCATCAGCACCTGGACTAAGCAAGTTTCCAGATCCACCTGATGTAGGATTTTTAAGACTGATAGCAATATTTGAAGATTTAAAACTTCAATGTATGAGCTGATATTTTTTGTTTCTGTCAAACACATGAAACTTAAATGAATTTCCTGAACCTGTGATGTGCATAGAAATTTATGAATCCTTGCTAAGATAGTTTGTGAACTGCATTGTCATATTATCTTGTTTTGGGTTTTTTTTGTCACAACAGCTTGGGAATAACTTATTTAAGTTCTGGCCGACTCTCCTCAGATCAATTAATTGTTGTGTTTCTGGCGAAAGGTGTCGCCTACAGGGAAGTTTCAAAGTACCCTTTGCTCGACAAATTATACAGCGTGACCACTCAGGATTGAAGAGTGTTTTGACTTTTTAACATTTTCATTTATCTGTTGTTATAAAAGCTGATTCTGATATTTCAGTAAATGTAAACGTATCAGCCCCAGGGATATGAGTCCCACCATTATAATGGTCAAGCTCTATCTAACACCTCAGCTTGGTACCGCTCACCACTCCGATTTTCGTCAAGAGGAATCAGATCTGTGATAGTACTCTCATGGATATGCGAGGCTGCAGGAACAGCTTTGGACACTCATGTCAGCATCCAGCATGCCAGTAGCTCAGCCTTAGCCAATTTCAGTCAGTCACGGCATGGTGGCACTGATGACAGTGTTGTGTGTACACTGTTCTTTTGTGTTTGGAGAGCATTGGCTTGAAAATACAATAAACTGATTGATTCTGGACTGTACAAGAGAGTTCATTTGTGTTCAGTAAACACGTCAATCCTGCCACTGACTGAAACCAGTTGATCACAACTGAAAACTACTGACAGAATATGTTTGTGTCACAACGGGACTGAACGGACTCACGCGCAGGCTCTAGGTCTTGAAAGCACAGGAGTCTTTATTACAATACACCAGGTGATCTATTTACAAAGGTGAGGGGAAAGCCGGGCTCCGGGGGTCCACACACGAACGGGAAAGACGCTGAAAGTCACACACAACACACTCCGTCCACTCCTCACATACCTCTTCACACTCCAATCACTCAGGTAACACAGGGGTTGGTCCAGGGAATCTGTACACAGAGACACGAAGTGATTATAAAGGCAAATCGCTGAGAAAACACTCTCGAGGTAACTGCGCTGGGGTTACACTGACGAGGGTCGGCAACGGTCCAGCAACGAGAAACACAGGGTTTAAATACACTGGGAAGTAACGAGGGGAATGAGACACAGAAGGTGGGCACAACTGGGAGAATAATCAGGACTGACGAGACAAGCAAAGCAGGATGCATTCACAGAAGACACAGACCTTCAAAGTAAAACAGGAAGTATGACACAGAGACGCAAACTTGACACGGTGGAGACAGCAACTAAGAAACGCAGAGACATAAACCATAAGGCAGAGGACTCTAAGACCCGAAAGACACAGAGGGAAACTCAAACATGCAGACACAGACTTACACAGAACAGAGGGGACACAGAGAAACATGAAGGGCAAGGGATCGAACCTAGAAACCATAGAATACCTCACACAAGTACAATAATACAAACATCACAAAGAACTAAACATGCTGGGTCAGGAGACCCAGAACCCTGGCAGTTGGGTATTTAAAAGATTAAAATGTTGTACTAACAGAAAATGCAGTCATGACTTAAAGTTTGCAAATTCAAATTCAAATTTTATTTGTCACACACACACAACCATACACAGTATGACATGGGGGTGAAATGCTTGTAGCTGTACAATGCCCGACCATTAAATGACAGAAGAAAAGTTTTACAATATTTACAATTTACTACAAAAATTTACAAATTAACTTAGGAATTTACAGTAAAGAATGTGCAAATAGCAGAAGAGATTATAAAGATAAGGATTATAAATTACAGGAATTATAGGATTATAGGAAATGTGTGGTGGTGCGTGTGGTGACGTGTGTGAGAGTCCAGTCTTATAGTGACGTGTTTGGGAGAGTCCAGTCCTACACCTGGTTCAGGCCCCGAATAGCCTGGGGGAAGAAGCTCCTCCTCATTCTCTCTGTTTTGGCCTTAAGGGAGCGGAAGCGCTTCCCAGACCTCAACAGTGAGAAGAGTCCATTGTTGGGATGGGAGAGATCCATCATAATCTTCCTAGCTTTGGACTTGCACCGCTTGGTGTAGATGGTGTAGATGCATTGCCTATTTGTTTTTGTGTTTTGTTTGGGGGGTTTCGACTAGTATATGTTACTGGCCTGTATGTTTTGCATCTTCAAATGATTCTTATTTTCGGAAATGTGGCTTTTTGTAACAACATCAAATGCACTGAAGGGCTGAGAAATCTCTGAAATGTTCAAAAACTATTTTCTCCCATTTACTGTGTTATCTTTCTTTATTTATAAAGTTTAGGATCATCCAGAAAATTTTCATGAAAACTCAAACTTAATCACATGATTTGCAGTGTGAATAGAAATTATAATTGGCATTCAGTTTAGGTCATCTGGACACATGAACTGACTTGGTTGATGGGCACTTAAAAAGGGATGTGGTGGCTGTTCTGTTCACCGAACGTACAGAAAAAATAAAAGAAAACTGTTTCTTTTCTAAATAGTTTTTGCAGAGGAAGTTGTAGTTTGGGTCTTTTTATTTATTCTTCTGTTCACAAATTGTTTTGGGGTTAGTTTGTTTTTTCACCCAAAGAGAGCTCATTTTGATCAGCCTGTCTCTGCAGGGTTTTTTAATCTTCTTATGCTCAGTGTCTAGGTTTTATTTTTCATTTTATTTTATTTTCATATTGCCTAGTCTCAGATATGCAGCATCATTTTTAAGACTCAGATATTTCTTCCAGGAGTCGCCTCTTCACTGTTAGCGTGTTTTGTGGGCATCTTTTAATGAATCTGCTGATTGAGGACCTGTGAGGCGCCTGTTTGTCAAACTAAAAACTGGAAACTCCCAGCTCTCTTTCTGTGTTGGTTAGATTTAGTCTGTGTTGTTATCTCACTGGAGTAATACCCACCATTGCATTTAGTTTTTGTGGCAGTTTTTCCACATAAATTTGTCTCTATTTCTTAAAAGTTTGAGTTTTACTGTTTTTTGGGGGACAATTTTAGACTGTAATAACATACAAATGCTGAAGCCTGATTCGCTCAACTAGTACAATGTTTAGAGGTTGTTTAGTTTTCAGCTGTGCTAACTTATTTGATTCATAAAAAATTATTTTTTAACCTCATAAACTCGCATTAGTTTTGAACAGTTTTGCACTAGAGCGCAGGTTTGATGGTTTCCTGAAAATGGGCTTGGGTATGCCTATGTAGATATTCTATTAAAATTCAATTAAATGTTATTAAAAAACAAATATGCGTTTGCTTCTGAGTGAACGAAAGTTACTAAGCGATTATATTTTAATAACAGTGTCGACGTCTGACTAATTATTTATCCTGTGGCAATACCAAACATACAAAATGTGCTTTTGTGATGCTGATTACCTCCTAATTAGCTTTTGAGTTTAACTACATTTAGGTGAAGTACTGATGCAAACAATTAAATAATTTATTTGAACTTTGGAATGAAGTTTTTTTAAGTGATTTTCCTGTGTTGGGGCTATTAGTTCAAGTTTGTTTTTTAAGTTAGACTGAATTGTGATTTGAATACATTACAAGGGAATTATAGTACAGTCGACCCCCGGTATTTACAGGGGATAGGGACCACAAGCTCCCGTGAATAGCTGAAATCCTCAAATACTTGGGACCCTCTCTTAAAATGCTGATATATTTCAGCTTCCCAAGCTGCATTTTCTTTCCTGGGAGCTTTGTGTTTGGAATTTCGACATTTTATTGATATTTTGCTGTGTTTACATTAATATGAATATTTGAAAATTAGTAAATCATTTTTCTATCATAAAAATTTACTTAGTCACAAAAATAAAATTAAAATGATTAGCAAATATTTTAGAAATGCCCTAGGAAGAAAATCTGCGAATACTGAACTGCGAATAGGCGGGGGTCGATTGAAGAGACCATTGCTCAGTCCATGCCATCCTTGTCTCTTGTCATCATTACTTCAGCACATTGCTATAAATTGACAACAGTAACTGGAAACTATTCTTGGGTACTGGATTTACATGTGCCTTTATATAGAAAGGTTCAGTACTTTTAGGTGTTTCTTACCTTTGCTTTTCTCAGTGGATGATGAACCACAGATAAAACCACAGGCTGAGGATGGCGGTTTCACTGTTGGCTGTGTTCCACACCTCATTATTGACAAGCAGGTACAGCTCACTCTGTGTGTTCAGCAACAAAAGCCTTAATAGCCCTGGGTACAATAGAGCTGGTTCACTTGACTCTGACAGAAGAAACTTATCCTGGCTGGTGTGAATTAGTATAGCTACAGGCTTCAAGAGGTCGTTTAGGCTTTTCCTCACTTTGAAAATACAAAAACAATATAGCCTTACAGTAAGCATTCAAGAGATCTAATTACAATTTTCACCACGTCATTTAGCAAGATATTTGAATGTTTTTGTTGGTTTGGGTTTTTTCTGTTTTAATTAAACATGAAAAGAATCTTTGAAAGTAACTGTGTCATTGAGGTTATTTTTATGATTTTAAGTGAACAATTTCTGTTATAGTTTTGCAACAAGATCTGCAAAAGATGGCAGTACAAAAATACAAATAAATGTGTCAGATTTATTCAGAAATGTTCAGGCTGTCAGAAAAGAAAAGAAATTTGGAGAAGAAAACAAAAAGGAAAAGCTCCAGGCAAAAGAAAACAAAATGAGGAATACAAACAGAGAGATGAAAAATGAAAAGAGCACAATAGACGTACTTGTTGGATACAAATCTAACCTCTCAGAGCGGGCTTTGCATCTGACATCAAAATGACATTTTGTGTTTTCAGTGCCAGACTCTATCATTATGTTCAGTGACTGACAATGTTATTGAAGCCTAGCTTTTAGTAGCACTCTGGGTGGGTGGAAGTTAAAATGTTCCTATTAGGAAGCCTAGTCGCTGAGTCTGGATGCTCTCTGACCTGTATTGAACTCATCGGGATGAATCCTGAAACAAGTGTGTGCGTGACATGTGTGTTTGCTGTTTCCAGGGAGCAATCTGTTACCGCTGCTGCCTCACCACAAAGAGTTTAAACGCCATTTTATAGCCTTACTGAGCGAAGTGCACACATCTGTTCCTTTCCTTGTTCCGATCACAATCTCTTTCACATGTGCACAGAGCACATAAATATAGCCTGTACTGATAAAAGGACACCTTCAGCCATTCTGTACCATTCACATGCACACAGCCGTCCTCCTTTTTTGTTCATGTTTATTCTGGTTTGTGGGTTTTGGCAGATTTAGAAACCTTAATGGAAAGAGAAACCTTTTTAGCTACATTAGTGAGCCTCTAAGGATGGCAAACTCTGCAAGCTGGTTTCTGGCAGCAGCTTTTGTCCAAATAACTAACTACTATTTTGTCCATCTGAAGGTTCAGAATATAAAGCCAGTTCTCTTACGAAATGGGTTTCTTTCTGAATGATGTCTGATTTCCAAAAGCCTTTTCAGTTTACTTGGCACCATGTTAGTATTAGACTTTTCCAGACATGTTACTTACTCGGATTGAAAGCTGTTGTAGGTCACCAGAGGTCAACAGAACTAATATTTAGGATACCTTTGATGAAGACAGGTGGACACTGTTGGACATGGAAGTACTTTGTGCTGTTATCCTAAAGTAACTGGCAACAGCGTAACGTTTTAATCGAGACGTTTGTGTTGAAGTACATGTAATAATCACTTTGTTTTGGTGTTAAATTGCGTATCAAGAATCATTCATTCAGCTGGTAGTCTCACTAGCAATTACATTTCTAATATCATGACAGCATTAGGCTGATTGTTGGTATTTATTTAAGTAGATTTTGCGATAGTTTGCACTGACAGTTGTTTTTGTATCCTCTTTGCTAGCTTTGATGTATTACACTGTAATATTTCTGACTATCCAGCAATCTTTAATCATTCCATTATTTTCTTTTAAAGCCATCATCTTGTCAAGTGTTAAATTTATTCAACACTTTGTATTGTGAACGTATATCTTAGCTGTGTCTTGTGCTAACAGTGATTCTAGCACGTTTACCATGAGTGTATTTTAACATTTAGCTCAAAGTACCACTATGATTCAGTAGAACCTCTCAGAGCTGCTGTACACTCGGGCTTGTTTAAACATCACCAGCAATCATAGTGTACCAATGGAAAAAATAACGGAACAACCACCCAGCTGTCAGTGGCAGTAAAAGCATCCTCTTGTTAGCGTTTGTGGGTTTGTCTGCTCGACAAATAAAAAGCATCTTTAACATTTCCAACCCACTGGCAGATTGTCGTCCAGTGGTCACTTTCCAGGATGTAACTTCCTACACTGGGTTTTTATGTGGCTGTGGGCCTTCACGCTCACGCCATTACTGTCAGTTCAGAGAAGTCACTTCAATTCTGCTTTCATGAAAAAGCGCACTGACGTTAATTTGATGACAGCTTGCCACCCAACAAGTAGAGGTTATTTAATGACAAGTTGCTGAAAATGTAGCACTTGATGTTTTTGTACCAGGTTTCAGTCTATGCAGGAGGCCTGAAAGGCTGAATGAAGCCTTTTCCATGGATGTAAGCATTTTCGCAGTTAATGTGTGTCTGTAACCTAGCTTTCTGATCTTTATTGCAGGTCCATTCATATATATTTATACATATATTCTGTTTGTTATTAGATCTACAATGAGATGATCCGTGACCTGCTGAATCCATCCTCAGGCTTCTTAGACCTAAGAGAAGATTCTAAGGGAGTTATTCAGGTTGCTGGAATCACAGAGGTGTCCACCATCAATGCTCAAGAGGTGAGTCAGTTTACCTTTCCAAGCACTACATGACCCATTTATTTCAATCAAAACACTCAGAAATTACAAAGACCAGAAATAACTCACACCTGTGTTTTTCTAGATCATGGAGCTCCTCATGAAGGGCAACAAACAGCGCACCCAGGAGCCAACAGCCGCCAATCAGACGTCATCTCGCTCCCACGCTGTGCTACAAGTAGCTGTCAAACAGCAGAGCCGCTGTCGTGACGTTCTGCAGGAGGTCCGCTTTGCACGCCTCTTCATGATTGACCTCGCCGGCTCCGAACGAGCAGCACAGGTGTGTGTACATATATATATTTATATATGTATATATTTATTCAGAGGGAGTGAGTGTGGTGAAGCTACTTTTTTTGCTCCATGAATCGTGTCTCCATGGGGAACAATGAATGATTTCTTCAGAGGATAGATGTTATCATAAATCTTAGGAGACTTATAAAAAATATAATATAATCTGAGTCCCTTGATCCAGTAGGATATGTCCACCAGTGGCCACCAGCTTTTGTTTTTTCATTTTAACATATATTTGTGACACGATACCTGCAACCTCTACCTAAGTAGAGTCAAAAACAGTTCATAGTGGACTTAAATTTGACAGGTGGTCAGAAACATGAATCCCGTAACTGTGTTAATGGTATCACAACTCATTTCTTTTCATAAATGAAATCTGATGTCTGCACTTTTTTTCTTTTTTTAGACAACACTGTTTTGTTTTCCAGGAATTTATGAAAAGTGTTCTAGATATTTCTACAGAAAACTAACACAAAATAAAAACTTGGAAGATGACATATTAAAGCACATTCTTCACAGAGAAAATAAGAATGACAGATATAAAAGCGAAGAGCAGTACATGGAATTTCTTTTTAGTATTGTCACACTGGTATTTATCAGTACAGCGATGAAGAGAATCTGCGAGCCAGTTCATTTTCTGGGTTCTATTATCGCCTTGACCTTTTCTTTGCAAGCGGTTAAGTGAGAAAAACTCAAGTATTTGTTCAGTTGTTTTTTTCTTTTTGGCAGTTGTTCAGGTTGAGACTGCTTTATTCCTTCATTTGAATAGCTTGTCACTGATGCTCATTTTACCACAGGCTTGTTGTTCTTCACCATGAGATAATCATGCGGTCAGGCTGTGAGAGCACTTATTTGTCATGGAGACTATTTGAATGATTCAAAGGCATAATATTGATGAGTTGCGCATTACAAGGCTGAGCATACCTCACAGGTGTTAGTCACATGAAGCTGCAAAGAACATTTTCTCTCCCTGTAAACAAGAGGCATCCATGTAGTTAGCAAAAGGTGAGGTTGTGTTATTTTAGTAGCACATAGACCAAGCATTGGAGCTAATGCCATCTATTGGTCAGGAGTGGAAACATGTCAACTACACCACCGAAAGAAACAGCCAACAATAGTTTACTAATGTTGACACTCCCCTGGTGTCCGGGGGCTGTAAAGCCTGTGAAAACATAGCTCAAATATCACCATCATTAATGAATCCTCTATTTAGTATAACTTATTAATTTAAAAGGTTTAAACTGTGTTAATCTGTTGATACTTATTCAGTTTTTTTGTCAGTGCCACCCAAAAGTAAGTGTTATCATAATATTACTGTTATTATTATTATTATTATTATTATATTACTTAAATCACCTTCAGAGCAGTAAAAGAAACGGGGGAATATTTTCCTTTTTTAAAAGCATATTTGAAGTTTTCTCATTACTCATCCATTTTTATTTTATTTTATCAGACTCAAAATAGAGGTCAGCGTTTGAAGGAAGGGGCCCACATCAACCGTTCCCTCCTGGCTTTGGGCAACTGCATTAACGCCCTGAGTGACAAAAATGGTAACAAGTATGTCAACTATCGAGACAGCAAGTTGACTCGTCTCCTGAAGGTACAGTCCTCTAAAGGTTTATATGGGACCAACTGTGTTGATGATTTAGATGTTTTTTGTGTGTGTATTTATATTTATCATTCTTTTTTTAAACAAAAGGACTCCTTGGGCGGAAACAGCCGAACGGTCATGATAGCCCATATTAGCCCTGCCTCTGTAGCTTTTGAGGAGTCTCGTAACACGCTGACATATGCAGACCGTGCCAAAAGTATTCGAACACGGGTGAGCTGAGTAATATTTTATGTCTCAGTGTTGCTTCACTCTAGCAGAAGTTAAATAAATTAATGTAGCTTCAACTCAACTTTCTGCAGTTAGAAATCCAACTTCTATTGTATAATTCATATATCCAAAGTATATCTCAAGTATTCTTTGTCATCTTTGTCCTTTAGGTGAAGAAGAACATGATAAATGTGTCATACCACATTGCTCAGTACACCAATATCATCTCAGACCTGCGCTGCGAGATCGAGAGGTTGAAAAAGAAGATTGCCGAACAGGCGAGTCGACAGCTCAATTCTGACCGAGCTGACATCCGCAATGTTCAGGGTAAGGTCTCGCACTCACAGCTGACTTTAATATTTGAAAAATACCTGCTTTTTGAGCTCTTTGAGTCTAATCTCCATCCCTTCCCTTGTAGCAGAGGTCCAGGCCCACTCCAGCCAGCAGAGTCGAGAGGAGATGGATCTGTTGAGGGAGCAGCTTCTGGATGCCTTCCGCCAACAGATGCAGATCAGGAAGAGCCTGATGGAGCTGGAAAACAACAACATGGAGATCCAGATTGCCACCTCTAACAATCTTTTAACTATTACAGAGTCAGTTTCAAACCTTTTTGTCATGTTTCTCCCTTCTTTAACCAACACTATTTATCCTGTATTTCTCTTTGTAACATTATTAAATCCAGCTATTTGATAATATGTTGAAAGCTCACAGCATGTCTTTGTCGTGCTTAAAGTTGCCTGAAAGTGTCAGTGTTTGTGGATTATATAAATATAAATTATTGTAAGTCTGATCAAAAGAACAAAAAAACAACATAAATCAAATGTAATAATGAATTTTATTGGCCGCATTTTTTTTTTTTTTAAAAACAGAAGACTTTTTCAACTATGTACTTTCAAATGTGCCTTCATTAACCAGATTTTATTGTCTCTGTCAGTGACCATGTGTAATTTTCTTCTCTTAGCTGGGAACAGGAGCGCAGCAGGCGCAGGAGAAAGTGGCGTGCAGAGAGGAGGAAGGAAAGTGTCAATAAGGATGAAAGCGAGAAGGACTCTGATTCCTCAGAGTCTCCTCCAGACACCACGGAGACTCAGGAGGTGGCAATAGCTCGAGAAAATCTGGTTGCACTCATGGCTGAACAGAAAAAGATTCACAAGGAGAAGGTGGGAATGTCTGTCTACAACTAGAAAAAAATAGCAGAAAACAGAATCGTTCTCATAAAACCTTTGACTGTAGTGCATACATAATATTTTTAGTGTCTGAAATACAGTCTGCTTTTTAAAATGTGCCTTTATACCTTTTGTTTAAAGGCGTTGCTTGAGCGTAGGTTTCTGGAGCTTCGGGATCAGGCCCGGCGCTTGGAGGAGCTGCTGCCGCGGCGGGTTAGCTCAGAGGAGCAACGCGAGGTCCTAGGACTTCTCTGTAAGGTCCACGAGCTGGAGATTGAGAACGCAGAGATGCAGTCCCACGCTCTGCTCAAAGACAACGTGATCCGACAGAAAAACTTTGTGGTGCAGCGTTTTGAACAGCACAGACACCTGTGCGACGAAATTATTCAGCAGCAGAGACAGTTCATTGATGGTGAGTATGTGAGCATTATGACTCCGAAGTTTATTAAAAACAAACATCATCTAAATACATATAGCACTGCTAACTGGGTTATTAGGCACTTTACAGTTTAATATCAATGAAGTGAAATGAGGTTACTTTGAACCAGACAGTTAGACAATTAAATAATCATGAAGGAGCTCATCAGTTGTTTTTGATTTGTTTTTTTTATGAAATTATTTCCTGACATGAATTATCCTCCGTGTTACAGACCACAGTCTGCCCGTACCTCCACACCTTCAGGACCTGTATGATATGTACATGAAGGAACTAGATGATAGGAAACTGGAGAAAGCAATTGGCCTAGAAAAGGTGACAATCAGGCAGACCATCAAGGTAACCACAGCTGACACGTAAAGTCTAAACTAAGTGATACTATAGTAGTATTAAGCTTAGAAGAACACAAAGTACAACTAACTCCTATGTGCTAGTAGTATTAAGCTTAGAAGAACACAAGGTACAACTAACTCCTATGTGCTTACTTCCAGGAGGTCTCGCTACCTAAAATCGCCTTACCTTCTCGCGGTCGTGACAACATGCAGGACATAGATTCAGACCAGGAGAGCATACGTAACATGTGCTCAGATAACAGGCGAGGTCAAGCCAAAATACGCAGACATACCCTGCCTCCCATTCTGCCTGAACCTGATCTGTAAGAGGACATCTTTTTCATGTGTGCCTTAAAGCTTTTTAACTCGTTACACTATCTGGATACATACTGTAGGTTCTCAGGTTTGTTCTCTTATTCCCGGCTTTAGGGACAATAACAGAGTTTTCAAGAGCAGCCCTCATGCCAGGCAAATGAAAAATTCAGCAGTAATGACCCCACCTCCTATCCACATAAATGGGAAGGGCAACAGAGAGGTAAGCACAACTATAACACCATCTGGTTTTGTTCATTTTGCTTTATTAGCTGTGAGAAAATGCAGAAGAGCTTCTCTTCACATGGCTTCATATTTGAATTTCACTCTCAGAGATACTTCACTCTATTAATCCCTTTGTTTTTCAACATTCGCCTGTCCATAATAAAATGTTCACTATTGACTCCTATGTTCAGGCTTTTTTTTTTTGCTAAGCTTACCAAAGAATTACATCTTTGTTTCATCACCTTTTTTCCTGTGTAAATGCATCTGAGAGATGTGATTCATTGGCAAGATAAAGTTATGTTCACCAGAGTCCACCAGAGCCCCATTCAGAATTAAAATTTCATTTTGGAGAGCCATAGAATTGATTAATCCTCACTGACACTCAGACAGACCGACTGAAAGCAAAGTACCACAGTGAATGTCATATCGTAATGTGGCACTCTGCATCTCACGTCTGCAGCTGCAGCCTCTGGCTCCTGAGAGCTTTCTGAGTTACAGCCATCTCAGCCACAGTGTCAGCAGCCACCTGGACTCATCACCTGAGAGCAGCGAGGCAGGGGCCGATATCCCCCTCTCAATAAATGGTACGATATTCAAATGAGGACATATGAACTTTGGGGAGTTTTAACAGAGTTTTTATCTACAGTTTAAATACAGGGGGAGTATTTAAATGCAGGTAACAGAAAATCAATAAACCCTTGAGTTTGATGATTGTTTGTTTCCATGATGTAAGATTTTTTTTAAAGCACTTTGCATCAGTGCTCAGGATGAAGCCTTCAGATTTCACGGTGACCTAGAAGTGTATTTTTTGAAGCAGGACACAAGGAATATTCTGCAGATCTTCTTCATGTTTAATATGAGCGATTGATTTTCAGTTATAACAATTAAATCAGTGCTAATGGGGAAAAGTAGTGTTTCTCTGTTAACTAGCTTTCTTTCTGTTGTGTGAATGGAGATTAAAAATGACAGTGAAAAGAAATTACCTGTGTCTCCACAGAACGGCAGCAGATTTTAAAGGGGGTCCAGAACATTGCAGTAAAAGCAGCACGTCGGCGCTCCAAAGCACTCGAGGTGGATGTCTTGCGGTTACCTTCTGCACCATCTCCCCTGGACCCCAAGAAGCAGAAGAGCAGCCTTTCTTTAAGCGAAGCTCCCCCTAGAGGTTTGCCAATGAGGCGCGTCAGGCAGCCCAGCCCCGAGCTGAGACACGCCACTTCAGACGATAACCTGTCCAGCAGCACCGGGGAGGGACCTGGTTTGCATGTGACCTGGACACGCCCACGTAACCGACAGGTGCTCAACAAGAACCAAACGCCTCGCGAGGCAGACTTAGAAGGCCGTCGCAAAAAGAGACGCTCACGCTCTTTCGAGGTCACAGGTCAAGCGGTTAGTATTTGGCTTTCTTTTCAAACTGCCACAAGACACGTGAAAGGTGTCACATAATGTTGATGTCTGTAGATTATCAGTAGTCTGTGTTAACAAGAGGACTAATATGACTGGTCTGGGGTGGCTTCTTTTGTGGTAATCATTTGTCTTATAAGGATTTAAGCCAGCCGCTTGGTACTATAGACTGTATATTAGAGTTATTCCCTCTGTGTACTATGTCACTACATATATGTCACTGGTATGGACGTATGCCGTGTGTCTTGGAAGATGAGTCTATTAGTGTTCTTCATCTAACTTCCAGGTACCTCAAACCAAGACGAGCACAGCTCAGAGGTTTCGCCCTCTGGACAGCACATCAGACCCTCATCTCCACATTAATGTTCAACCCCAGGCCCCTATGCTACGCCCCCAGTACCGAGGGGTCCCTCCTCTCGCCAAAGTCAGGCCTCCCCACAGCAGCCAGCAAACAGGTAAACCAATTTCACTGCCTGTGAGGAGATAGTGTCATGGTCGCTGTGTGGCAGGCAGGATGAGGACCCAAAATGCAAACTCACGGACTCAGGGGATAAACTCAAAATGCAGCTTTATTGCTGACAGGTGACAAACGAAAGCAGTGATACCAAAGCAATACAAAACTAAACTACACTGGGAAAAGCTAATTGTAACATATACCAGAAGACACGGGGAGAACCACACACAGCATGAGGGAGAACGCGACGCCGAACAGAGGGAGACGCAGACAGAAATACACAGAGGGTTAACGAGGAAAGTGGGAACACACGGGGAACACAGCTGACACAGATAACCATAACGAGACAGGGCGGGGTGAACATAACACTGACGGGAGACGGGCAGAGTCAAACAGGAAGTACAGAGGTTCAGACAGGAGGAGAGAGAGCACGAGGAAAACACAGACATAACGGGCTGGGGAAACATGGAATAAAACATAAGGAGAGACGAGGGCTCACAGATACACAGAGGGGCACACAGGGGGTAAAAGCCACGAAGGGAAAACACTTAGGGAACAACACAACAGGGCAACTCAGGAAACATGGCCTAAATAGGGAACAAAATACAAACATACAAGAAAACTAAGAATACTGGGCCAACATGGCCCAGGACCATGACAGATAGTCTTCCTTAAAGTTGTTACAAAGCACAATCTGAGAAACCTCCTTATGTACATTTTATAATATGCAAAACATGTAAAGTGTATTTTCTACTGCTCAGCTTCACATGATTACACCCCTCAGGTATATACATGACATTATACATACACATAGCCTTTAAATAACTCATGTTCATGTGTCTCCAATCTTCAAGTATCATTCCTCTTTCACCTTTCGTCATCACTGTACTGAGCATTCATTCTGTTATTCCCTCTCTTTCCATAGGCTCAAATGCTGAGTCCTCTACAACCAATATGAATAACCTGAAGCGAGCACCCCAACTACGGCAGCCCCAGCCCCTCCTCTACATAACAAACACAGGCGCGGGCGCCCAGCGTATACGCAGACACTGAGCTTACACTGGCCGCGACTCCCAACACCAGCATTAACACCAAACCCAGCTGAGCCTGGAGGCCGAACCATCTTGTTATCAGAGATCTGAGAGCATGCAGCCTCAATAAAAAAAAGAATTGATCCTTCAGTGACTGTCACTACGCAAAATTTGTAACAACATTGAGCTGGATAATTTCACACAGGTCTCACTGTGTGAGGTTGACACGGCAGTAGCTCCGCTTAATTTCGATCCTAAAACTCCAAATAGACCGTGATTATACGCAGTAACCGAAGGTAACTTAAACTACTGTCTGATAAAGTGGCTGGGTGTCTACACACCAGTTGAAAATGCCCAAAAAAGTTTTGCCAAAGTTGGACACGCCGGACGGGGAAGGCCCGAGTGAAGCCTCCGGCCACAGTAAAGACGCCAGCGGAACCGTCACGAGCACAGACAATATAGTGTTGGGGGCTATTGCGGCACTCCGCTCTGAACTGGCAGGTGTTAAGGTTGAAATTTGTGACAAAATTGAAAATAAGATCTCAGAAGTCACAGCTGTATTAAGAGGGGAGATAGCCAGCTTGAAAGCCGAGAATGACAAAGCCATAACAACGCTAAGGAACGAGATAGAGTCACATGGCCATACGCTGCAAGAGCTAGCCAACACGGCTAGCGGCTCATCCGATGCAATACGGGAGTTGGAGAACAAAGTTGAGACGCTCCGTGGGCAAGTGACATCGCTTTCTGAAAAATGCCTCGACCTCAAGGGATGTTCGAAGCGTCAGAACCTAAGAGTGGTAGGGGTGAAACAAGGCAAAGAGGACGGGCAGAATGCCAGGGAGTTTGCAGGGAGGCTGTTAAAAGAAGCGCTTGGACTGGACGAGACACCTGTGATTGACAGAGCTTTGAGAAAGAAGCCCGAAGATAACGAACCACCTCGACATCTTATTGTAAGAGTTCACTACTGCCACACCTATGAGGACATCATGAAGAAAGTCATGGGCACCCGGGATATAACATTTTGTGGCCGGTGGATTCAGATTTTCCGGGACCTGCCACCTGAGGTGGCAAAGCGCCGAGCTACGTTCACCGCTGTGAGGAGGATGCTACGCGACAAACCGGGAGTCAAATACGGACTTCTTTACCCAGCCAAACTACGAGTGTCTCACGACGGTATTGAGAATTTTTTTACTGACCCGGAAAAAGCACAACAGTATGCAGAACGCCTCATTGGAGACGTGGATAACGGAGGATCACTGGATCCTATCCCACGTGAGATAAGGGCAGATAATGCCACAATACACCACCCAGAATGCAAAGAACCTCTACGCAGGTGACATCTAGCACTTTACTACAGACAGGTTGTTTTTTTTTCCTTTGTGTACCTAAGAGTCAATAATCCGGGTAGCCTGCGGTTAAAGGCATATGTTAGTAACGTTATACTTGTTAATGATGTTACATGTTGCGGTCTCATACTTGGTTTTAAGGGCTGCTAGTTAGACACCCTTTAACTTGTTTTTGAATAACTGTATTGTTTTGTTTAATAGTGACGATAATGTACCTTCTGATCCTTCTTTTTGTGATATCTGGTCTATGCTTAATGTCTTTATGGAGCTACACAGGGCACTTGTTATGTCGGTGGTTGCGACAGAGGATGGTTGGAAGTACACGTGGTCTTGTTGGGAGGATGGCAGGCTCCCCTTCCTGCTATGACCTAGGTGTATGTGGGGTTTTTTTGTTGTTTGTTTGTTTGTTTTTCTTTTTTATTATTTCTGCTGTGTTTATTTTGTATTTTCGTGGGTGGGGTTGTTGGGTGGGAAGGTGCTATGGTAGAAAATGTTCTAGTCAATATGGGACAATACACATAAATCACTAACAATATGGCCTCTTAAAAAAACATACTACAACTGTAATCCAGTTATTCACAATACAATTCAAATCTGGAGACAGATCGTGAAAGAGTCTAGACTCAGAGCCTTCTCGCTTTTGACACCTATTACAGCTAGTCCTGCATTCAACCTCTCAGTTTTAGATGGGACATTTGATCACTGGAAGGAAATGGGGTTGCGAAATGTGGGACACCTATATTTTCAGGGCTCTTTTGCTTCATTTCAACAGCTTAAGGAGAAGTACAATTTACTAGCCTGTGATTTTTTTTTTTTTAGATACCTTCAAATAAGGAGCTATGTAAGGTCCCAACTACAACAATTTGAGTTTGCAACTCCAGGTAAGCTTGACCAATGCCTGGCGGATTGTATAACAGAAAAGCATGCGGTTGCTTCTATATATGAGATATTACAGTCACTCCGGCAGAAGGATACAGGTAAAATAAAATCAGCTTGGGAAAAGGAATTAGGGTCAGAAATTCATAATGATATCTGGACTAAAGGGCTACGTAATGTTAATTCCTGCTCTATCAACGCCCGACATAGGTTAATTCAGTTTAAAATTTTGCACAGATTGCACTACTCGAAGACCAGATTACATCGAATATTTCCTGAAACGTCACCCATCTGTGATAAATGTCAATGTGCAGAAGCTGATCTGCTTCACAGTTTTGTAATGTGTACCAAATTACAGAGTTTTTGGGCTTCAGTTTTTTTCTTTTTTTCCCCCAAACTTTTTGATGTGCAGTTAGACCCTGACCCCATTTTGATTCTTATTGGACTATCGGGACAATCTAAAAAACTTAAGAGCACACAGATCCCCCTCCTGGTCTATGGCCTGATGTGTGCAAAGAGACTGATTCTCCTCCTATGGAAGGGAAAAGAATTGCCCTCCTTGAAAGCCTGGATTTCAGTATTGACAGATACTCTTCATCTGGAAAGGATCCGCTACATTATAAATGACAAACTGGAGGACTTCGATCAGATTTGGAGGCCGCTCATTGAGCACCTGGAAATTATGAACAAATGAGAGTTATTATGTGGACTTCACCATTGCTTAAAATAAGCTGATAGCACTCTGGCATAAGGGAAGGGTGTAGGGAGGAGGGGTTTGGGGTTTTTTTGGGGGGTTTTTTGACCACCCTTTTCGGTACGTTTTGTTTTTTCCTGTTTGGGTTTGTTTTGTTTTTTGTTGCTATTGTTGTTGTTCGCTTTGTTTTTCCTTTTTTTTTTTTGATGCCAAAACTGTAAAAAGGAAGCAATGTCAGTCTATGGGACAATTTGTGATTGTTATTTGTGCTTCACAATAAAAATATTTAAAGAGGTCTCACTGTGATGGTGCTGAGGGTCAAGTGTTTCCTCTTTAGCTCGCTGTTGTGCTTAATCACTTGTGGTATCGTCGTGTCAGGAACATATCAAGATCATAAATGCAAGACTGTGCTTATATTGCTTTGTTATCAGTGCAATGGCTCTGTAATGTTCTGTGCTTATTATGAACAGTGAATGGTTGGTGTTAACGAGCCTCACAGAAGATACATAAGAATCCAAGGGAAAGTATGGATATGGGACAAAAGATTAGGAGACAATATTAAACCAATGCCGATGTTTAAAAACAAAAAAAAGAGTAATGGCCTGCAGTAAAAAGGTTTCAACATCAATGTTTTTCGTAGTGAGTTTGTTTCAACCTGACACACTGAAATTTAAGAAAAAAGAAAACTTAATCCTGTTGACCATTGTGCTCTTCAAACTTAAAGGTCTCTGCCTTTTCTTACCCACAATACTCTTTAAGGGTCATGGTTGTGTAGATACACAGGATAATACCACACAATGTTTTTTGCAAATCACCTGGCTGTTTCAATTAATTATTTAACTGTTGCCTTTTCCATTATTATTTTTTCATTCATATTGTTTTCATAATTGCAACTTTCTATTCTTTATTTTGTATATTTTTTTTAATTTGTGCCTAAATAAATTTAACCGAAGTATCCAAAAAACAAAACATGTGTTTTTGTTGT